ATTTTTAATGCGGATATGCCAAAGGAGGGGTGATTAAGAATTTTGATGAAGTTGTTGATATGTTGTAATTGCTGTGTGTTTTGAGTTGTTTTTAGGCTATAGATTCAGTTGTGAAATAATGTTGAACTTGGAATAGTACTAGCAAATCCAGCTTTGTGTTTGGCAAGGTTAGTGTAAGATTTGGTGATTTTATCTAACTGTGAGCTTGAGAAGGAGGTGTTTTGAATCCGGTAGGCAAAGCGGTAAGGATTACTGAATTAATTATGTATATTGCTTGCTTGTCTGTTATTTTTGCATGCTGTAGCTTTCGTAAAGCTGCTGTAATTTTGTCAGTAATAATTGTATAAGAGGTTTGTGAGAAAGGGTTCTGGAGAACCAACACCCTAGGAATCTAAAAGCTTAGTCAGGAGGGATGTTAGATATTATTTGTTGATAAAAGTAATTTGCACATTGTTCGTTTTGGTATTGGTAGCTAGGGCTGATTTGTTTGGATTTACTTTTATATTGGCCATATTGTAGAAGGATATTGCTGTATGGATTATGAGTTCTAAAGATTGTTTGGATTAGGCAATCCATGTAGTGTCGTCCATATATGCTAAGCAGGAGGTGTGTGAGTTATAAGTGTTGGATCCAGCTTTGGTATTAGTAGTAAAAGTATATTCTTGATGTTGGGTAGTAATTGTGTGTATTAGAGGATCGTAATAAATACGCTATAATAATGGCGTTATTGTTTCCCCTTGATCTATTCCGTCATGTATTGGATAGGATTTGGAAATACCATGTATAGTAATGACTTTATTAGTTCTCGCTGTAAAGATATTGGTAATCAGATCTGCAATAGGTCTTGGAATTTTTATCCTGAGTAATGCTTTGGTGAGTAATAGGATGTGTACTGAGTCGTAGGCCTTTGATATATCTTGGGAGAGAATCTAAAATTCTTTGTTGTTAACATGTGCATCTTCGAGTATATGAGTTAGTGTATTGATCGAATACATTGTGGAGGTGAGAGTTAGTGCGACGTGATTAGATGGTAATAGTATTGAGTATCTGGTGAGTGTTTTATTAAGTCTGTTTGTAATGATTTTGGTGAGAATTTTGCGGATATGCTCGATTAAAGAAATGGGCCTTGTGTCAGTCAGAGAGCCTGTGAAAATTGATTTCTTGGATATAGGAAAAATTACATTTCGTTTTCACATTTGAGGGATTTGTGATAGTTGTATACAATCATTATATATATTTGTGATTAGTTGCAATGCTGTTGGAGATAGGTGTTTAAGCATTTCGTTCGAGATCATTGAGGGTCCTGTTGCTTTGTTAGTAGAGGCTTCTTTGATGGTATTTGTGACTTCTTCTTCTGTAAT